TGAGGTTTTCCCCTTACCAAGAATTATAAGCCTACGAAGATACTCTGTGTCACTAGTAACATATAATACTGAGCATTAAAAAATATGGATAAATGGCAACTTCCACTAGTTAGCATCCCTTCTAAAAAAGAGTGCAGAATCCTTGTGGGTATCTCACATGCTAAATATCTAAATGATAGTCCAGTGGGAATAAAATGAGGAAAAACACAGAAAAAAAAAACTGGCAATCACCCATCATTTCTTTAGCAATGAACCAACACTAGTCAAAGGGAACCGATTTTAGGGGTAAGACATAGCTCCGCAGGCTTTTCCATCTGAGAGTTAAAGGCATGAACTCTGGGAAGTGCTCTGCGGCTTACCCCACCTCTCTCAGAGTTCTCTTCACCATCTTCCATGAGCCAACTAGTAACATTATATATCTAACAAACTTGGGTAGTTTTGAGATTAAAATTCCAATTGAGTACAGCAAATGTTTATTAAACACATACTATATAAAAAATATGTTGCAGGCATCACAGGGATATTAAAATGAACAAGATGCAGCCTTTATACTTCAAGGAGCTACCAGTCTAGTGGATAAGACAACAAAAACTCCAAGGAAGTTTTTCACTAGGAAGAATAAAAATTTTATTTTTGGTTCCAAGATTGTGTTCCTCACCACATGATGCTAATTCTCAGGAGATATGATATGACATTAGCGGGGGCGGGGAGAAGCATGGAAATATTCATGGACGTATAGTAGGCAGGGCCTGGCAGCTCCAATACCGTGTCAGCAGACAGGTATGTTCCTGGTGGTGAGAGGAGCACATATAGACGGAGACAGCTAGAAAGTACAGCGTGTTTGGACCCAGCTTGGCCGATGGGCAAAATGCAAGGAAAGATGCAGCTGTAGCTAAGGGCAGAACATGTTTAGAGTGAGTCTGTTCTTAATTCGGACGAGAGCTGGGAACACTTAAACACAGAAGCATTGTAAACCCAGCTACACTTTAGGACATTCAGTCTGGGAACAGCACACGCCTAGAGCCATGCCCATCCTACATCACTTTTTTAAGAATTAGACAAAAGAATCTTTCTGGGAAAACAGTCCCAAGTGGGGGAGGGGGGGGAAGCCATGATAAATAGCTACAGACTCTGTAAGAATTCATCCAGGCGGCCATGCCCGTACTCTTGTGCTATGAACTTGCACAGCCATAGGGAGTGGCCCAGACCCAACAACGTTTCCTAAACGTGAAAACCTGTAAACCGGGCTTCCAAGAACTTGAGTGAAAAGCTGACACTGAAAGTGAACTGCTGAGGCTATGGCAGCTCACGGAGGCCAATGCAACTGTCAACACAGGAACCAAAGTGGGCCCTGAAACGCAATCGGTATTGGGTCGCCCAGGTGACCCAGAAAATGCTTAAATAAAAAAAGAATTTTTATTCAGTGTTTAAGATGAAAAACTATAAGATTTTGTTTGCAGCTGATGAGCGGAAAGAGAAAAATAAACCACAAATCACCTGACGGGCTAGTTAAAACGCTCTAACTTAGAGTCAAATTACTCCGTGCCATACCAGTGACTTCGTGTGGACTTAGGAGTTCTGGAGCAAAATAGCTCTCAGCAAAACGTATTATCTGAGAGCACAGGGCCAATGGATATATGAAATACTGAATAAGAAATCTGATAAAGGGAGGCTGTGGCAGCTCTTTTGATTCTTTTAGGTTTCTAGCAGTTGGTTACTATATGCAACTGAGTTACTGTAGCAGTGAGTTACTTTATCTCTTGACTTGTCTGAGTTAAATAACTTTAACCCACTAAGCAGGAATAAAGAGACATTTTGTAGATTGATTAGAAGACATAAAGCAGTCCCACTTCTCCAGTAGAATTTTAGTTTAATTAAACCATATAAGAAACAATGATCATGCACCTAATGTACTTGTCACACCACACCTGTTGAGTAGAATTTCCATCCCAAATGTTTTCATCTTTACCCTCATCTTGAGTCTCTCAATCTATGTATCTTCCCCTCCTCTATAAAAAAAATCTTCCCCCCATTTCTCAAGCACTTTCCTTCTGATGGTTTCCCCTGAATTGCTAGCCAATGCAAGGGTTGAAGGTTCCCAAGATGCTGTTCCCACTGAGATCCATGCAGAGGAAGGATTACTGAACAAGAAGTTGCTAATCAATCCCCAGGAGGCAAGGAATGGCAAAATACTCTCCCCAACAGCGTCCAAAAGTCTGCACTGGAAAATGTACCAGGGATGTAGCTGGCCTTCTTACTGGGCAACAGTACCACTGACGCACTGGAGGCAAGTTTCACATCCAATAAATTCTTTTTATACACTTCTTTGGTAAATTCTTTCCTGGGAAAATGGTTGCTAATGAAAAATTACAATAAATGTTGCCAACAGCCTGTGCAGCAAACTGCCTTTCCTCTTCTAGAGGAGCCTGAGAAGGGAACTGATTTGTAAAGAGAGAACCACCAGAAATATAGAATTGAATTCTTGCAACTTTGCTTCCTTCTCTTGCAGAAGCGTCCCTCTTAACTTCCATTTCAGCCTGTGTAGCCAGCGAAGCAGCAGCGTTAGCAGCTTCTACTTCTTCCTGTGTATTTGGAAAATGAGTAGCTTCCTGCATGGTCCAATGCAATCTGATGTTTTGTACCCTCTCAAGCTGCCCTATCTTCTTTCTGACTTTTCCGTTTCTTTCCTCGAACATTCTTTTTGCTAATTCCTCTTCTTGCTTTCTTTTATACACCAACATTTCTTTTCCAGTTTTCCTCCTCTCAATTTCCTTCTTAACCTCTTTCTGTGTTCTTCCCCTTTCCTTCTCTCTTCTCTTCCTTTCTTCAAGTGTCTGGGTTGGTCTCTGCTCTGGCAGTGAGGTCCTCCGCTGCTCTCTGATGTGAACACCCACTAGGTCCTGAGACGGAAGGGAAAGGCTGGATCTTTCTCCTCCTGTTGCAGAATCTGACTTTGCAGCAGAAGCGGGTGGTGTCCCACAAAGCTCCCCATTTCCGGACTGAGAGTTTTCAGAAGTGTTGTTAGGTTTGAATGAGGTGGACAGAGTAGAGACTGAACTTGTTGACTGGCTGCCATTTGCCACTTAAGTTTCTCCTTTTAATGAGTGCATCTGCTGGACTTTTTGAATTTTGGTAACAAGTTCATCTGCAGAAACACTTCCTTCTATTACTGCCAAGGGAATTCTACTGTCTCCAATATAAGAAACCAGGTGAACCAGCCCGTGTGGCTCAGTGGCTGAACACCAACCCATGAGCCATGAATTGACTGGCTGCCATTTGCCACTTAAGTTTCTCCTTTTAATGAGTGCATCTGCTGGACTTTTTGAATTTTGGTAACAAGTTCATCTGCAGAAACACTTCCTTCTATTACTGCCAAGGGAATTCTACTGTCTCCAATATAAGAAACCAGGTGAACCAGCCCATGTGGCTCAGTGGCTGAACACCAATCCATGAACCATGAAGTCATTGGTTCGATTCCTGGTCAGGGCACATGCCCAGTTCCCAGCTTGATTCCCAGTGTGGGTGGTTCGATTCCTGGTCAGGGCACATGCCTAGTTCCCGCTTGATTCCCAGGGGATGGACGTGCAGGAGGCAGCTGATGAGATGATCCTTCTCTCTCCTCAATGTTTCTCTCTAACCCTCTCCCTTCCTCTCTCTCTAAAAATCAGTTAAAAACACTTTTTGAAAAATAAACTGGTGGAATACATACTAGAGGATAGATTTGTGGAAACTGTAGGTAGGCTTGACTCTTGGTACTGATTTTAATAGCAAAAAACTGTTTGAAGATGCTTTTGTCACTTTCTCATCTTCCCAACTTGCAGCCATCACTTCCCATGAACACCACAAAGATTGCATGCTCCTCTTGGCCAACAGGATGGCGGCGAGGATGGCGCCCTGGAACCACAGCATCCTCCACTGATCCTGGGTGCTCACTGCATGTGTTGTCCCCGTGGTCCCGAAGTTGGCCCTCCCTCCCCTTTTCCCCTTCATGGGACCCCGCAGCTCTCCATCCCACCTCTCCACCTCGCTCGGCACAAATGCAAACCCGTCAGTGGCCTCGGGGGACATGTGCAAGTGCAAGTGGGAGAACTAGGAGTGCGCCTAGTCATGTGACGCCACACACCAGGGTTGGCAGTGAGCTCCCTCAAGAATTTTTAAAAATATTATTAAAACATACAGAATACTTGAACTCTGAGGCTGAGGCTGTATCTGTAGGCCCTAGTTGAAAACCACAGGTGTAAAAGTGGTTCTCAAATGGGATGTGGGACTCCTTCCTCAATGGGTTGTTTGTCAATTGGACTAGGGCAAGAGAAGATTTTTGAAAATCAAAATGGGTGATTGGGAGGGAGGGGGGACTGTCCTTTAGAGGGCGTGGCCAGGGATGCTAAATCTGTGGGACAGCCTTGACAATTCTCTCAGCCAGATTCCCCATGAGTGCCCCAGTAGGCTGTTAGGCTTCATGAGGAAGTGACCAGCTTTGTCTTCTACTCCAACTCTAAGAGAGAGCAGAGCAAAGCCTGGTTAGGTAAGTTTAGGGACAGATAAGATCTAGGAAGACCAATCTGGAGGTTATTATATATAGAAGCAAAAGTGAAAACGAGGTGGTCGCCTGGGAAATGGAGACACTTTGCAGAGGTATTGCACACAGATTGGATACTGACAGGGAGAGAAGTGAGTGGGCTGTTTACAGCAGGAGGCTGCCTGGCAGAGGGCAGGGGAAAACTCAAGCTGAACTTGAGGTTTCTAAGCGTGGAGGAGAGGGTGGTGTCATGAACAGAAACAGTAGAAATAGTAGAAATAAATTACCTTGGAAAGAGACTCTGAGGCATAAAGAACCAGGTGGCCAAATATATGTAGTGTAAGAGCATCAGTTTCTCCAAAAAGACTAAAAACAAGGAAAATCCAGTGTTCTCCTACTTTTGGGCTATTCTCTACATAGACAAGTGGTCAAACACCAAGTTAAAAAAATTTTTTTTCCTGTACAACTATATTGACTCAGGAGAATTACTCAACCTTTCTATTTGAGCAGTTCCAGAAACAATAGTTGAAGAGTTTTGTCAAGATCTAAGCAGACATCTCCCCCTGGTGGTCACAAGGATGGAAAATCACTTGTTTTTTTATTTAGGCTTTTGTCTTGCCTGAATCTTTCATTGGGTTCCTATTCCAGGCCCTTAATGTTCTCTCTGGATTTGCTCTAGTGTTTTATAATACTGTCGATTGTATTATCTAGTACCATATTTAAGGAACACGAAACAAAATATACTAAACTGAGATTGTTACCCACTGCCATGGTCCACTGTGGTCTCAGCATTCCTTTGGTTTAACCACCAGAAAAATGAGATTTGGGGCCCAGTTGCCAAATTTTGGGTTGATAAATCCAGATTCAGTTTCCTCATCAGTAACATAAAGAGAATTGAACCAGAGGACTATTAAGGTTCCTTCCCACTTTCCTATATATTGTCGTCTCCCAAAGAAGCACAAAGGAGGGTATAGAGAAGGTATGTTTTCAACATTTCTTGCATTTTTAGCCCATCAAATATAATCTTTGCTAATGACAAAGTCAGTCAGCAATTTCCATAGGACGATCATTTTTAGACCTCTGCTTCACTAAAAGGAAGAATGTATAGGAGGAACTATAATATTACACTCTTAAAACAAAGTAGACTAACTCTCATTTTCTTGAAAGTTAGTTAGGTAATTCACTTTCAAGAAAATGAGCATGGCTATATGGATTTCTTCAATAAGTAACAAATCCTTTATTTGTGAGATCTGCCAAACATACATTTCTGCGTTGAGAAGAGTTTTGGAAAACATCTTACCGTTCAACATACGTCTCGTCCAGATTGTTGAAGCCTATTGCTGGGCTTCTAAGTTGATTCTGCACAGATACCAGGTCCTTGCTGTCCAAGGCCTGGTTTAGTAAAGCAACAGCAGACAGCATTTCCACCGCAATCAAGAGCTCCTCGTGAGCCAAGTAGTTCTGTCGGGAAACATGGCAGTAAGTCCACACACCTTGTGGGTACGATGGGGGTTTAGAATGCACATTTCAAAAATGATGAAAAGTCAAAGATTTTGACAACCCAGGAGAAAAAGAGCTCCCTGGTCACCTATTCTTCACCGACTTTAAAGAAGAAGTAAATTGGCTTCCGGGATTTTCTTAGGTGGTTTTGGCAACTGAGTTCATTACAACCAATTTATGATTCAGAAAACAACTGCATTCCCGTAGCTGATTCCTACTCCCAGCTGTATTGGCTGCTCACAGGCTCAGTCTCACCAAATAATTAAGCCAAGCATTAGAGAATGTTGTCACTGTCTGAGAGTGTGAGGTAAGATTTTAGGATAACTAATGATTTTCAATTTGAATTAAGGGTAAGGAAAAGAGGATAGAATTTCACCTAAAAGTTATAGCCCCAGAAAATTAAATAAAAATACTTAAGGTAAGAATATTGATTCCAGCTCCAAAAAGTTAGTCACATATTTATAATTAGGTAAACATTTTAAAATGTACTATAACATCTAGATGTTTAAAGAAATGTGAGGTTTATCTTTTGGCAAAATAAATAAGAATCTCTAGATTTACAAATCTGAATTTGGCTTATTTAAAAAGTACATCTTAGATTTTAGAACACTTTTCCTCTTTAATTTTATCTTCCATTTAACCATTTTATACTAACTTGGCCTAACTTCCTAAAGATTATTTCTTCCATATATTGAAGGAACACAAAGGGGGCATAAAAATGAATTAATAAAAAAATCTGATATATATCTTTACATCTAGGATATTATATGTATTTTTATATGTATGTAATATTTATAATATAGATTTCTGAATATCCACAGAAATCTTGCAACAAAATGATTTTAGAGTAACAAAGCGTAATTTTCCCTTCCAAAGCAAATGGGAAGAAGAGGTTATTATAGGGAACATGTAACTAAATTTTATCTAAATATCTTATATTGACTATAAGTTTAACACATAGGGAAAGTATAAAATTACAAGTAAAGGGTAGAATGGAATCATTTGAGATTCACCTATTTTACCCTTTCAAGTGAACTATCCACAAATATCTAAAGTGGTACACAATAAAAATGATAAGGAAAGATAAAGAAATAGTCATTAGTTGACTATTGACCAAATGGGGATGAATGACTGTGTAGAGTTCCAGTAGCCTTGGGCTTCAAAGCTAGAGAAGTAGCAGGAAATATTAATGCAATTTGAGGAAATAACCTATTTTTCTTTTATTTTAAAATAGCATCTTTTGCCCAGCTGGTGTGACTCAGTGGTTGAACACTGACCTATGAACCAGGAGGTCATGGTTCGATTCTGGTCGGGCACATGCCCAGGTTGTGGTTGTATCTAGGTTTCGGGCTTAATCTCCAGTATTGAACACTGACCTATGAACCAGGAGGTCATGGTCCGATTCTGGTCGGGGCACATGCCCAGGTTGTGGTTGTGTCTACCAGTAGGGGGTGTGCAAGAGGGAGTGAGAGAGTGAGAAACATCGATGTAAGAAAGACACATTGATTGGTTGCTCCTGGACGGGGATTGAACCTGCAACCCAGGTACATGCCCTCGACTGAGAATTGAACCCTTGACCCTTCAGTGCACAGGCCAATACTCTAACCATTGAGTGACACCAGCCAGGACTACAGAAGGGTTTTGAAACTAACTTATTATTTTTCTAATTACAAAAATAACCAAGATAATGCCATATATTTTAATCTAATTTTCCACTTAATATTAAACATGTCATTTGTTTCCTGCTTTTCAGTATTAGAGACAATGCTATGAAACAGCCTGTGGCTACAAACTTTTGACTCACATTCTTTTCCTAGGAATGTGATTTTCAGGAAAATGGGTAAGAGCCTTTGATACACACCATTCAGATCACCCTGCAGAAAGGCTGCACCATTCATGCTCCTGTCAACTGTGTAGGAGGTGCCTGCTGCCCCAAATCTGTGCCTACACTAGGTTAGATCTCTCCACTCTACCAATCTGATTTCTAAAAATAACTGTATTTTGATTTAATTTACATTTAGTTACTTCTGGTTGAGTTTGCACATTTTTTGTGTTTGTCATTATGAATATTAGATATTTTGTGAATTGCCCTTTTATGCTTTTGCCCCCCTCCCACATTTTTTTGGTGGATCAGTACTGTTTCTAATTTTTAAGAGCCAATGTCCTTTTATGTTTCCTTAAAATTTTAATTTAAGATAATTTTTTTTTCACATTTAACCTTTTATATTGAAAATTTATTCTGATATGTGTAGTGAGGTAATGTTTTCTTTTCCAAGTGGAGAAATATTTGTTAAGGGTTTCATTCCTTTCCCCACCTTTTAAAATACTAGCTCTCTCATATATTAAATTCTTGGCTCTGTTCCAGTACTTCTCATCCTGTTCCATTGTTTAGCTGAATTTGTAGTACACATGCTCTTAATTACTCTAACCTTATGTGAATATTACTGTTTAATACTATTCACATATTAAGGAGCATAAATTTACAAAAATTAAAGCCATGGTGCTAATGTTCTAATTGTAGATTTCTATAAATGCTGATTTTGAGCTTATTTTTCTATTAAAAAAACATAACATTTCAGACTCTGTGATCGATTGCTCCACACAGGGAGGCCCTGCCCACCCAGTGGGGGCTCTGCGATCCATCACCATATAGAGGGTGGCCCTGCCCACCTGGCCAGGGCTCGAATCGATCACAGGGCAGAGGGTGGCCTGGGCTTCCCTCTGTGGGGCAATCGTGGGGCAATGGCGAGACCGCCCCCCCGACCCCCGACCAATCGCATGGCACCAACTTTGGCTGGCCTGGCACCGGTATGTGTCATAGCGTGGTCGTCCGGAAGGTTGTCCGGACAGTCGTTCTGCTGTTTGGTCGTTCAGTTGATTTGCATGTTATGCTTTTATTATTATAGATATGCACAGCCCATGGACACAGACAATAATGTGGTGAAGGCCTGGGAGGGGCAGGTGCAGAGTAGAGGGGTCAATGGGAAAAACACCGCCACCACCAACGAAACCAAGGGGACATCTGTAATACTTTCAACAATAAAGGTAAATTAAAAAAAAAACACATTTAAAAATTCAGTAAAGTTTAAAAATGATCCAAAAAACTTTAAAAAATCACAGCGAACAAGAAACACCCGTTTTCAATGGTATTTGTGTAGAGCTCTGTCTACACTTCCTAACTATGCTCTTAGATTCATTACGTGGATGAAAAGCAGGTTAAAGGAGAAGGCAGCCATGAAATTGGTACAGGGAGACCTACAAGACGGGGATTGGAACAAGTTAAAGACTCTACACCCCTGTTCACCTCCTAAACAGCCTTCCTCATGGCCTGGACCCATACTGAACATCTCCACAACTGCAGTCTCCTCTGACTCACCATAGCGTTCTGTTTCTGAAGGTTGAAAAGTTCGTTCTGATACATCGCAGCTGCAAAGGGATAAACAGCAGGCAGCTGGGCCTCTGGTCTCTCCAGTGCGAGCAGCGTGCTCTTGGGGTCGCCTTCCTGGATGACAGCATTGATGTGGTCCACTGCAGCCAGCCCTGAGGGTGGGAGTCACACCGTCAGAATGTCCACATTCCCACTGTGGCCTGACCCATCCAGCCCAGCTCTCCAAGGATTAGAACCAAAGGAGTCACTGCCCATGAACTCGGAGAAGCTGCAGTTGGAGGACAGGCAAAACCTTGGAAACGGTAGCTGAGTGACTGGAGGTTGGTCCAATGCTTGGAGGTAGGACCTAAGAGAACGTCAGCACGGACGGAGCTGGAGTTAGAGGTCATTCCTGCCTAGCACGACTTCCTTACAAAATTCTTCCTCTGTGGGCGCACCTCTTCCATGAAGCCTTCACATGGTTCTAGTCCCGAGGATTCTGCACCTTGGGAATCCACACAGTATTTGGAACCGGGCCATACAGATCCTGCAGGCATTGCTCTTTAATGCTCCTTATGTGTCCAGCCTCCCTGGGGAGACTGAAGCTGTGGGAAGCTCGCCCTACTGCTGTATCCTTCCTCCGAGTCAGAACCATGGAAAACCCGCAGCCAGCACTCGGACACGCTGCTGCCCGAGACTGATGGTATTAGTTCTCAGAACAGCCGCTTCTCCCTCAACTGCATGTTCTATGAATTATGGTTCTTTATTTTTAAAGCCTCACCCAAGGCTAAGAGAGAGGAAAAGAAGGAGGGAGAGGGGATGTAAGGAAGAGGGGGAGAGGGAG